GCTATGTGCGCGTGGCCAAGAACACGCCCTTGCCTTTCAAGACTCACGCCTTGCTTGCAGGCCTCTGTCAATCACAAGGCGGCGGAGCAAATGTCATGGAGACGAGTGAAGCCCATCCCGCTCCCTGAGTACCCTGGTCCCGATGTACCTTGGGAGGAGATTCTGGTTCGCAGGGGGGATCCTGGGTTGGTGGAGACCCCTCTCTACAATGACAACAATGTCTTACCCAATGTTCGTGACCACCTGTCCGAGAGTGCCTCACGGCCAGTCTCCTGTGGAGTCGAGCTACTGAGATGCTGTTCCTGTCGCGCGCTCGTGCCGTGCCGATGGAGGCCAGGGAGCGCAGCGTCCGCGGTGGGCTTCCCCGCTTTCGGCGTTCTAAGATTGGCAGGGAGAGGTTTTTGTGGCCAGAGTTTCCAGCTTCCTGCATTATGTGTGTTGGGCTCACGTTTCTCAGACCCTGTGGAAGCATCGCCTGTGTAAGGCTCGGACGTCTTGGGATGATACGGTTTGGTCCGGTCGTGTGCTGGCTACTCTATCGGGCCAAATTCATTCTCATTCGCTCCCTGGTTTCCGTCAGCCTGCCGTGTGGTGGGTAGCTCAGTTAGCGGCTGTTCCTGATTCGGTAGATGATCTGAATGTGCTTTCTGCTTCCGTCGCTCATGCGGTCGGTCAGGCCTGGTATGCTGCCCGCGCTGCGTCGAAGCCCAGCATGAAGCAGTGGCTTCTCAAAGCGTTGCCTCGCGGCGCTAAGCGGGTGCATGCTTGGCCCAGGTGCGATCAAGGATCCGGTCTTGAGTATCTTGTCACACCTACTGAGGTGAAGCAACTCCCAGAGGGGATAATGCAGTATCGTCCGGATTTTTGGAGGCAATTTTGGAAAGCTTCCCCTGATCAGAGGGGAGCGTTGCCGGGTGCCTTGGATGTTCTCAGACCGATGGCGTCGGAGGCGGTGGAGTCCTTGGACCCATTGACCCATGGGGGGGTGTCCAGAGCGGCGCGGCTGTTCAAGGTTGATGCTACGGTGGGCATTGATTCTTGGGCCCCGCGTCTATTGGCGTCTTTGCCTGGTTCTGCTGCGGGGGTCTACGCTGATCTCCTCAATCAGCGCCAGCGTTCTACAATGTGGCCCACCCAGACTACGATGGGCATCATTGCCTTGCTTCCTAAGGCCGCGGATGCGGAGCGCCGATTTGCAAGCGCCCTTCCCTGCGCCGCCTGCACTGTCGGGCGCGAGGCCGTGACGTTGATGAGTGGTCTCGGGAGCGTGATAATTACTGGGACACTGCGACTAGAGAATCCTCGGCGTTGCAAGCGGCTCTCTTGCGAGAGATGGGCCATGATATGGCCAGCTGTTGGTAGGTCTGTATCGGGATCCGCGAGTCCTGGAGGTCAACGGCTTCGTGTCCGATGTTATCCCTACGGGGCGCGGGGTGTTTCCTGGATGTGCGCAGTGCATGTGGTGGATCGAGACTTCTGTATAATTTGAGGGACTTTGCGCACGCCCAGAATCGCCCTGTGTCCACCTTTGCTTATGTGGACGACATCACCCAGACCCAGACAGGCGCATGGTCAGATATTGTCTCGATTGTAGTTCCTGCAGCAGTGCATCTCTGTCATCAGCTTGAGCAGGCAGGGACTACCATCTCTAGCAAGAGCACCTTCGTTTGTTATGATAAGCATTTGCGAGGTCATCTTGCTACCCTCTTTCGTGCTGCCAGCCTGCCCATCAAGGTGGCTGATGGAATGCGTGATTTGGGGGGTCATGGCCACCGCAGGCAGGCGGCGTGGTGTTTCGAAGCTGCGCCATAGGCGTGCCCTGGCCAAGCGAAAGGCCCTGCGGGCCCGCTTTCTCGCTCGCCCGGTGGGGGAAGCCCGCAGGCTCTAGGTGTTGGCGGTTAGGCCGTGGGGCCATTGAGGTGTTAGGGCTCTCCCCCGCTGCAGTTTCTGCAGTTTCCCGCTACACAGCGTTTCCCCACCGCGGAAGACGGCAGGCAGGCGGCGGGCTCCGCCTCCCTGGCTTCGACGGCGAACGCGTACCTCGGCCCCGCTCAGACTCAGTCTGTGCGCGCCCAGGCGGCTACTTGTTCGGGGTGGTGGAACCCTGGGGCCTGTACGACCACCGTGCTGAGTTTGGTGAGTGCTGCTAAGGATGACCCCCCGTTGAGGCTCCGGCATGAGCAGCTGAACTCGTTCGCCTCGATGTGGAACCGGTTGCTCCACAAACAGGGAGCTCGCGTTGCGCGAGTGTGGAAGAAGGTTGCTGACAAGTCCGCTTGCACGCAGCATCGCTGACAAGTCGTGCGAGGTCCGATCGCGGCCACGCTGTCGGTGCCTCTCGATGTGATTTGGGAGCCTGTCTCTCCAATGTGTTGGCGCATTGCTCCGCGTGACGGATGGGGAATTCACGTTCCAGCTTTGGTCCCGCCTGACTGTTACGTACCAAGCTATGTCGTGAAAGGCTGTGGCGGGGCATTACATGGGGATGGGAGTGGAAGGA